CGCTGTCCTGGTAACGGAAGCAAAAATGGAATCGATGGGCAAGGGGGTAGTTCAAAATATTATACAATTACACACCGCAGCAGAGGTACCCAAGAACACACTTTCCATTATTGCTTGCTATCGTCCATTCTACTAACAGTCTATGACTTTCTCCATTATTTCGCAGAAATTATTGGGAAAGCGCAAGCACAGAGACCTTAACAATGAACTTCCCAGCATATACGGAATTGTAACAACTGGGGAAAAATGGAAGTTCATCTACTGGTCCGGTCCCCCGAAAACCCCAAGTGTGAAGGTATCAAAATCGTACGTCTGTGGTTTCGACGAAGAAGCAAATGAGGCAACAAAAAAGGCAACAACAAAGGTGCTTTCTCTCATCAGTCGTCTTCTTCATTCCCAAGGCGATTTCATGGAATCGCATATGGACCTTTTTCAAGTTGGCGAGAATGAGGTGGCCGGTGATGATGATGATGATAATGAGAGGGATAGTCAGCGCGCGCGTATTGAATGAATCTGACAATTGTTCAAGTCGGGTTGTATTGCGAACATGATTTTACTCTGCATTGTTGCTTGTTCTTGTCGACATGCATCTATGAATACTGAATAAAAGTAGTAGCTAATATGAGGGCGTGTTTGTCACCTTGTATGGTTGTTACAAAATTTCACGGTGTACGGTGCAGTATTTAAATTACGACCAGCCCACATGTATTCCCAATTTTGTCGGACAAGAAATGTTTATTCCGCAAAATTTTTGGTGACCTGTCGAAGGACAGGCCGGCAATCGGCGTACTTCTGTTCAAACGTTATCAAACGGAAAATTAGACACACAGCAAAGGAACGTCTTTTTTACCCTCTTCATCCGCTAAACGTCTTCCGCTACATGACCATTGCAATTGCCCCCGAAGAAAAGTGTGCTATGACAATCAAATCTTTTAATCAAACAGAGCGCACACCAAGAACCGTGTCATGCTATATTGGTGTATAATTATCCCTATAATAATACCAATACTTAAAGTTATATAGTTAACTTGCAACCTATTCCAATTTTCTTTTTTTTCTTGGCTCTTGAAGGGATTCGGCCAACGTCCGTTTGAGAACTTTTTCTGGTCTTTCCTCTTGGTAAATCTCATAAGTGATTCCTTCCTTGTCTAAATATTGTTTAATTGTCTTGCTGTCAGATATTTTGAGCAATTTTTCGCCTTGTTCTTGCTTTAAAAGAGAGCGTAAAGCGCTGTAGTTTTTGGGCTCCATAGTGGATCTAATATAGATGAGTTTCATATATTTCAATTTTATATACACGGCTACTCCTATGTATAATAAATACAAAATCAAACAAAATGTGCGTAATATATATATAAAATATATATATGGTAGACAACATAATTATGAACGAATACGAAAAAGCTCTTCATTTCCTGGAAGTAGGATGTGGTTGCGGTTGCTCGGCCAAGTTACCCAAGGAAGAATTTGCCGAACTGCGGGAAGATTTCCAAGCGCTTATCAAACCTGAACAAGACATTTTCTTAATGGCCCAACTCAAATCCATGGATGGAGGAGCGATCAGTACTAGTCGACGTCTCAAGGACAAAAATCGAGTCAATAAGAGAACTGTCTACTGTTGAAATCGCAATACGCCTCTTTGTCAGAAAACGTATCTTAATATGTTAGGAATTGGTCGCACGCACTTCGAAAACGTTAGAAATCACTTGGCGACGAATGGTATAATATTACGCATTCACGGTAACATCAAACGAATGCCACGATGGAAAACCAAGATAACCATTGATATAAATGTTGCTACTGCTG